CTGAAGGGCTGGAAGAGGTAATCAGAATTGTTGCAGTACTAGAACTAACCATAGAGGGTCTGTGTAGAGAGCAAAGAAAAACCTGCGGCTGGCCCATGCCAACTGACTCGGTCTCAGAAGGCTCGGGTCGTGGGGCTGTTTCACTAATGCGTAGACTTCCAGGCTCGGGCTGGTCGCCTGAGCTCTGGGGTCCTCCCACTCTGCAGGGTCCTAGAGCCTGGGCCCCAAACAGAGACCAGAAGTCTACACAGAATGAAACAGCCCCACAGCCTGAGCCCCATGAGCTGGAGTCAACTAGCACAGGCCAGCTGTAAGTGTCTAGTTGTTGTGTAGACATACCCAGAGTTTCTGCCTCCTCCCCCTACTGGTGATGGTCCCTGCCCAGGGCCAGAGGAGCCCCGTGCCCCTGGCGGGCAGTAGAGGGCAAAGCAGAGCCACTGGGTGGTGGGCAAGGAGAGGCCAGCCTCGAGAGGCAGCAGCTCCCAGGGTGGCTGGAGGGCTCACAACCATTCCTGCTCTCAGCCGCCACACGATCCCCCACAATCCAGGGCTGTCAGACCCCCTGGAGTATTAGCTACACAGCCCCCCCCCAGGACCCGGACTTGGCAGTGCTTCTCTGTTTCCATCTGGACAACTCCATGCTAATAGTGGGCTGCAGTGCCTATTGCAGCTGCACAGGGCCTCAGGGAAAAAAGGGTTGGGAACCCCTGTAATAAAGCACTCCTTTTCAGCTTAGTCATAGTGCAAGCACCTGAAATGCCATAACGTTCATGTTAGGTTATGCTTGTGCAGTTAGTGCTCACAAAAGGTACTGGCTTAACAACCCTGCTGACTGAAACCTTCTGCCCACAGAACGGCTATGGTGTGGAAAGCAGCAGAGCAAACTTCCCCCTTACCCCCTGCTGCCCAACCAATGTCCTTCAACCTTTGCCTTAGAGGGACCATCTCAAAATGCAAGAGGATTTCTTGAGCAGTCTCCAGGCTCATTCAAACTGCCAACAAGAGTCACCTGGTTGAAAGGTGAAAACTATGGGGTGAGTTGTGCAGATCTCAAATTATACACTCTGCCCAAGTTCCTTACAGCTGCAGGAACCATTATCAGAGGATCACAGACTACAGTGGCTTATTTTGTTCTTTTCATCATTGATTCAAAGCTAAGGGCTGCCTAAGGCAGTAAAATGCTGTAGGAAAGAGTGAGAAGGTCAAAAGGATTCATTTAGTAGGGGAATGAAGCACTTGGAAGTAAAGCAAGGGCCACAGAGTGGGAAATTGATACATGGTACAAACCTAATCAAACTTATTAACCACTGAGCGTGAACTGCAGACAGTAGCAGGTGTGTCTTTGAAACTGATTTTTATCAAAGGGGTTTGCTGTATTTAGCCATTTAAATGTATTGCTAGAAAACAATCATAATCATCCCACTTAGCCTTTATTAGTGGGATAGTTAAAATGGATTCTGTTGCCCTGCTCAGGTTTTAAAAGAAGCAGAGTAGAATTTTTCCTTCCCTTTATATGTAATAGTAAGTAGGAGCTATTCAAAAGGATTTCTATGAGGGCTGTTATGAAATGAGACTTAAACAGGACATTGTCAAGATTAGGATGGTTAGATCCCTTTCCTTCTGGTTTGATTTTATCTGCTTGCAAATTCAATATTCTTAATGGGTGATTTAGATATAACTAATGTTTTTAATCTTGTCTCCTTACAAAAGAGTGTATTGCCAATATTTGACAACATAGGGCAATCATGGCATGAAGATGGAAAGATTTGTTTGTAGCTTCTAAAAACTTCTTGTTAAAACAATAGGAAAATGCAGGATCCTGTCTCTTGAGTAAACCTCTTGAAATCAAGTATAGATTCAAGAGCTGTATTTGTATTACTTTTCATCAAAACCATGGTAGCTTTAGGTTCTTTTTGAAATATTCTGCTAAAAGGTTGCATATCAGCTAGTGTAAAAAATACAAATTATATTAATCAGTCTTAGAAAAATAACTTTTTGGGGTGTGTTTCAAACTGGTTTAGTCAAGGGGAGTAAAAGTGCCCCCAAGATGTTTTAAGTGATGTCTTGGTTGTCACGGCTATGTAGCCACTCTGTAACATTTTGGGCTTAAAATGTGGTGTTGCTTTTAAGGCTAAAGGATTGTTTATATGTATGCAGTAAATTCTGAACCATTTAATGGTAGCAGAAAATAATGCTTCAGTAGCTTATTATTTCCCCACTAAAATATCTGCTACTGTAGCAGAAATGGAATAGTTTGTCTTCTGAATGTGTCACTTGTTGGTAATAAGATCTATTTCAACATGATGTAAAGCAGCTTTTGGCTGTCACTAAATTGAAATGTGTAAAGCTAGCTAGTGGCAGCCCTGTACAAGACACACATTTAATAGGATTCCTGCCTCTTGTATTTGGATAAAGTCGCTCAACATTATAGAGCTGTTGTAACTCTTAAGACAACACTGTATTTTTGAGTATTTAAAATGGCTAACAAGTAAAGAATGACTTTCAATGGGAGTTGACACCAAAGCTGTTCAGGCTCCCTTGAAAATCTTGCATTTTGAGATGGTCCCTCTGAGGCAAGGGTTGAGGCAGATTGGTTGGGCAGCACAGGGGAAGTTTGTTCTGCTGCTTTCCACACCGTAGCTGTTCTGTGGGCAGACGGCTTCAGTCTGCAAGGTTGTTAAGCCAGAACCTTTAAGCCTAGATACTTTAGATCATAGGTGCTGGTGCTGGCTTGAAGTGACTTCTACCCTATCCAGGGTTTACAGTTTGGTTCAATGGCTCTCAGCACCCCTACTATACAGATTATTCCTGCACCTCTCTCTTCAATGCTGGAAAACTTTACCCTAAACATAACCTTTTATAATGGGTTTACCCTGAACTCTTCAAACAGCTTCAATATTATAACACCCTGGTTGATTTATGAAACAGCGGATCTGCTTATTTACTTTAAACTTGTCTGAATTCCTATCGCTTACACTAATGATCTTTAATTCTCGGAGGCAAATGGAATTTTGCAATCAATAAGAGAAATCTGCTGGTGTTGTGCAAGGATACCATTATGGTGTCTGAGGAGGCATTGGAAGGGAGTCTGGGTATGTGTAGGCTTCAAGATGAGGATATGATTCCCAGCGCAAGCAAACATACTAACACTAGCTCGGATTGAGTTAGCATGCTAAAAATAGAATATAGCCATGGCACTGTGTGTGGGGGGGAGGGTTGCCGCTCGGTGTATACACCTAGTATCCTCTCATGGATACATGCTTGTCACAGCTGGCCCCACCTGTCACCATGGCAAGGTGCTATTTTTTTAGCATGCTAGCTTGATCAGAGCTAGCACAGGTATGTCTCCTCAAGCTGAAAGTTAAACCTCCATCTTGAAGTACGGACCTACAGCCAGAGAAGAAATAGTAACTGCCCAAAGGAGGGCACATTAGGCTGTGTACGCTAGTCTTCATTAATACAAGTTTCCTGCTGTTGCTACCATAGTTTCATTGACGTTGACTGGAGTTCTAACAAACAGGGCTCCGGCCACTGCCGGTATTGGTCATCTAACCCTGTTCAGGTCTAAATAGTTTAATGATAAAAACACAGTTGGTGGCTGATGCCTTGTCCGCACTCTTATTTCTACTGGTGCTACCACTGGGGAATTGCTGGGGGTGGTGGGGAGAGATGCTAGGGTAGACAAGACCATAGTGGCAGAGGTGAGTTTTCCTATAAAGAGAAGCTGGGAAGATTGGGACTGCTTAGTCTGGAGAAGAGAGAATACCAATAAATAGATTAGTGAATGATACAAAGAAGTCCAATCTGATGCTCAAATTGGAGCCACCTTTTTAGCCCACGCAAAGCCCAGTGTCCCCTTATTTGGTTAGACTAGGAATGAGAAGGACAAGTCTTAACTTTCACTTTCTCAACAAAGAAGTGTGTGTATTGGGGTGGGGGTGGCTTTGTTTGTAAACAATCTATTTCTCTTGACAATAACACTGAAAACAAATCAATATAAAGATCTACAAACTGATCACTAGAATTTAAAAAAAAAATAGCTGTGTTTGTTTCCTTTATGCAGGAGAAGATTAGGAGGGAAGGATCTCCGGTTCCCCCAAACATAACTTTTATGTAAAATGAGTCCTTTTAAATGTGGAGTCCTTTCAAAGAAGCATCTTACCAACCTCTTCAAAAGCTTTAAGATAGCTCAGTGCACAGTAATGTAGCAATTGTGGTGGTGTCTGTGAGTGGGCAGTTTGTTTGGTTGGCCCAGTAAAATGCTAATCCTGGGCCCCTCTTTCATTTCACGTGGTACCAGAACAAGGTGGCTTTGAACACTGGCAAACTTAAAACTAAGTGTTGTTTTGTGAAAACACCCCATTTAAAATTCATGGAACTTGGTGTTGCAGGCTGATATTAAGAACTTGCTATAAATACCAGTTCAAGAAGTCAAAAGACTAGTACAACTGCAGTTGTTTTGCCTGCAATTGTTGGACATGCTACTGGATGAAAGCAGAAGTTCATAATGTCTAGAGAGTATAAAAGGTAGTTTATGTAAATTCCTGGATAACTGTTCTTCCTTTTAGTCCCTTGGCCTTGTGCTTATATGGAAAGTGCAAATGTGCCCTAATATGTAAATAAAACAACTCTAACGAAAGATCAAAACTTTAATAAGACTTCAATTTGTGGAAATAAAAACCTAGAAAAATGCTACTTTATTTTTAAAACCATAAAGTTAGTCAAACTTCTTTAAATCTTGATTTTAAAAAAGGGATGAATTTCTTTTCCTTTTTCCCCTCTAACCAGCTTGAGTTCTTTAATTATTTTCAAGTTAGATGAATTAAGACTTACAAGAAAATACTCAAATGTTATCCAAGAGTTTTCAGACAATCACGATCTCCTGTTTTGTATAGACTGCCTATTAAATACCGACTGCTGCAAAGAATGTTTAATCAATATTTCTGACTTTTGTGTTCACTCTCTCTCTCGTTCAGATACTTTTCAAACAGAAATCAATGATGTCTTCTGAAAATGTAACTAACAAACGTCATCATAACCCAGTGGACAGCATTTGCCGAAAAATCAAGACTATCCAGATGATGGACCAAATCTCTAATCCTGCTTTACAGATCCCAAAGTTTCAGTCTAGGAACTTTGACAGCCCACAGACTAATATCAAGAAAAACTTAGAGGAGATATTGAAGAAAAGGACCTTTAAAAGTCATGAGGCTACTGGGCCATATTTCCTAAGCCCCAGTAGTGACAATATTTTCTCACCATGTCCGCAGGCTGCAGGCCACAGACGATGCACGTCTGACTTCCACACTGGCAGTGCAACCTATTCAATTGGTAAAAATAAAGAGAAGACCAGAAAGTCATGGCTACCAATGTGCCAAGTTGAGAGTTCTCCACCCCTTCTCAAAAGTGGAGAGGCTAACATCCGTATGGGTCAACTATCTGCAGCTTCCAATGTCGAATGTAAAGACTTTGACTTGTAAGGATAACTACCTTACATCAAGTCCAAACTTGCCTTTCTTAACGGCAGTCCAAAAGGCAGAATGTTTTGCGTTCCAATCTCCAGTGGTGAAGAGACTATCTTTGAGTGAAAGAGGTAAACAATTCCAATAAACACTTAAAAGTATTCAGCTTTCTTTTCACCAACCCTAAACATTAGGTTGCCTAATGATGGCTGTCTCAAATGATTGAACCTAATTCTTTAAAAAGACCTGAAACACTACACTGAGGGGGGCATTTGGTCTAAGGAAGCCTACCAATCCCGTTTTTTTCCCTTTATAAAGATCTAGTCTAGAATCTTCTACTTCCATACACTCCATCCCTGTATATAAAGTCTATAGCATAGCCATATTTAGTTCCCAAGCCTGCAAATTATAATGCGTGGGAAGGTCTAGTTGACTTCAATGGATCTCTGCACAAGTGCAGGGGTCTGCCTTGTGTTAGCTGTATGATCAAAGGCCTGTTGTTTAGGTTACAACACCCCTGGGAATGTCATGTAAATTTATGCTGTTGTTAAAAACAAAAATGTAGTTGGAAGTAGGTCCATGGTAACTGAGAATTAGATGTAGTATAATGTATTTATCCCCCATAGGATGGAGACTATCATGGGCGAATAACGCTGACAACACCTATGATGTGAGCTTGATCTGCGAAGAAGACTTGTTGACCACTATCTTCTGTGCATGTGACACAGAACGCAGAGGTGTCTTAACTTTTCCCCCACACACACACATTTACTCTGTTTTTTGCTCAGTGAATTTCAAGCGTTAGGTCTTACTAGAATCTCTTCTTAAGAAAATATAATCTGTCTGGTACGTATAGAGAGAGGGTGGCCTCCTGGCTAAATCAAAGGACTGGTCATTTGGGGATCTGGTACTCTCCTGACCTTCCCACAAAAAACCTAGGATGGCACAGTTAGTCACCTAGTCTCTCTCTCTCTGTTTCCTATCTGTAAAACAAGGACAATTGCCTACTTGAGGCAAAGAATGTTTGTAAAACACTTTGAGATCCTCTGAAAGGTGACATAGAAATGCAAACTATAACCATGTCAGTGAAGTGATAGGATTCTTTTCTTAGACGTCTCAGCTTGCCTTCTTGTCATTGTATTTAGAGCTACTTGTACTTTTTTGTACAATGTTTGTGGGAAAATCTTCATTTTGGTTGAAATTTGATGTATTTATTTTAATGAGGGGAGGGGGTAACTTGCCATTTTCCTGCTAGCTCTTGATATAATTGTCTAATAAATGAAAGTTAGTCTTTTATTCTATGTGCTTTCCCTTTTTAAGGAGGCAGTGTTGGTGTTAGTGGCTTAAAATCCCACCTCATTATTGTCTAGAGAAATATTGCTTTGGGGGCCCGGTTTCACCTCAGAAATCTCCCTCCTCCCCCCCTTTTTTTTTAGCTCTGAAACTCTTAATCCTAAATTTTCTCCTGGCTTCTGCCTCTCCATGTCACACTAGAATTTTTCTAGCCAGTAGCTGGTCTAGAGCATCACAAGTCACTTAGACATACTACAGCACAGATTCAAGGATGCTATGTATGTATTCCAATCACCGTATTACAATTTATTGCCTATACAAAATTGTCTTGACTTTTAAAATCGAGTACAAAGACTGATTATATTTTTAAGGAAAAGTAGCCGTTTCCAAGATAGTTGATTATCTGAGACATACAACTAGTCGGGGGTCAGAAGACAGTGGTCTTGAAGAGCTGTGCAACATGCTTGATCCTGATAAAAGGGACATCTCAATGGACCTGGAAACATACCATGCTATCATGAAAGAGTGGATTGAAGACTGTAAAAGAAAATGGTAATAGAAATTTGTCTTCTAATTTCACAAAATGTTTTTTATAAAGATAAGATAGTAAGAATAGCTTGTCCGGTTTGCAGTGTTAATATGCAGGGCGTACGTTAGCATCCGGGAATCGTACAACTGATAGTGACCACAGGGTGGCTTTTCACCACACATCTTCCTGCATAGTGTGGGTTTTTTTTTTTAAAGTCAGTAAGAAATTAAAGGTCACACTATATCTTAAGGAGTAGGAATAGATTATCAGGGATGTATATAGCAAGGAACTTGAATGTATTTTAATAGAATGAGTGTCAACTACAGGCTGTGTAGGTAGGCTAGAGTGAATCTATTTTGAGTAACCTCATGGTATACTTGTTTCAGGGAAGATACCACTAAGGAGACAACGACAAATACAGAAGATTCTGTGTTTAAATTGCATGAGAGCATTCTAACAGGTGTGGAATATTTCATTCTTACTCAGGAATACTTGACTTTTTTTTTTCCTTAAACTAAAACTGGAAAAATCTCTTTCAGCAAAAAAGACTCCTGCTAGGATAAACATTACATCAGGAAGTTTAGAGGCCTTAGGTGGAGATGTGTCCAAAGGAGACCTGTAAGTTTTAGTCATACAATGCTTTTCTTAAACCTAATACAGTTGTTTTCTCTAATAGGCCTAAACTCTCTTCTGAAAAAAATGGATGATGGGATCAAAGTGCATTCATTGCACTGTTTCTAGCAGTTGTTCTCAAACTTATTTGATCGTGCCCCCTTCTTTGTCTGCTCCACCAGCAGCTACCACCCTCTGACCACCCAGCTCTGAAAGGAGAGTGGAGAGCGGCGACTGCTGGCTGGGTGCCCAGCTCTGAAGGCAGAGCTGTTGCCACCAGCCATGCAGAAGTAAGGGTGGCAATACCATACCATACTAACGTTACTTCTCAGCTGCTGCCAGCAGCAGTGCTGCCTTCAGAGCTGAGCACTCAGCCAATAGCCACTACTCTCTGGCCACCCAGCTCTGAACGTGCACAGTAAGTTTTTTTTTGAGGGGGGGTCCCCCCCCAAACTTCTCACGTGCCCCCCTTCCTGGATACATTCTGTGCCCCCCACTTTGAGAACCTCTGGTTGGTAGAGCCTCTTTGGACTTGCAAAAACCCAGTTACACAGCCCTTGTTAAGAATAAAACCAGTGTTTAAAGTTCTATACAGAACTTGGCTTAACTTATCAACTGCTGTTCATGTGCCTGCTTGTAACGTATGCTAATTCCTCTTATACCATTTGCTATACAGAAATTTTGCTAATTCAGCTTTAGTTTGCTAGTATTCACTGATAAGAATTAACAGTGGAAATTTTGTTCAAGTTCTTTCAAAGTCTGATATTAATTCATATAAAAAGTAGCGTGTTTAGGGTCTGAGCTCAAAGAGTGCCCACCACCCAGCCCTTAGTTCTGTTGGTTTTTTAACTAATGTTTGGGTTTCACTGATGAACAGCATCTTGATATTTATAGTGCTCTTAAAAATCATGATTTTGCATTCAATTCACTATACAAAAAACATTCAAAATGGTGTACTCCTCTGAGGTTCCAGTTTAGGAACATATCTAGCTTTGAAATTTTCACTTCTATCAATTTTTAGAAATATAGCTTGTGCTAACCAGAGGCTTTAAATGGGGGAGTGGGGGAGATTATATACTAGTTGCCAGTGACTTCTTATGAGAAAGTGACTATCACACTCGCACCTTTTTATCCCGTGAACACTTGCCCATTGAATATGGCCCCATTAATGGGATTATTACATCTGTAAAGTTATTCATAAGTGTTTTTTGTAGGTTCAAGGCCTTGATTTGGGGATGTTGTGGTAGCATCAGAATAGAGCAATTGCCTACCAACTTAAAACTTGCCTGAACACAATTCTTCTATTCACATTTTACCTTGTTGGAAGACGCATACTGAGAAGAACATGAAATTATGATTGTTCTTTATTGAATACAGGGAGACATCTGACTTGATTACCTGTGTAGCAGACCTTCAGTTCAAGAATCAGAAACTTCAAGAGGAGAACTGCAAACTAAAGATGGCAGTTGAAGCATTGGAGGATACCAATAATAGGCTAATGGAGGACAATGAGGATCTAAATAATCAAGTAAAAAGGTGGAACGCTTTCAGCACAAGTTCAGTAATTTTTAACTCCTGCTGTCTGGAAGTGGTGACCAACTTTGCAAAAACTCCCCATGCTGGACCTCATGTTTATTCTATAAAATTGGAAAAAGTGGTTCCCATTAATCTATCTAATAAGTCACTGAGGAGGAGGAAGAAATGGGGATCCCCTCCTGTTTTTCTTAGTTCAGTGTTTGGCTTGACTCTTTGTCGTTAAAGGCTCCGTGATTAAATGTTAGTCCTAGAAGTTTATGCCCACCCTACCATGCTGCCTCAGTCTCAGTGCCTTTGGGGGAAATCCAGGTAGCTTGGCCCAGATCAGCAAAGGGAAATGAGCGTTGTGATGCTAAGCGTCACAACGCCTGACTCTTAGGTGCCTGGGAAACCACTGGAACAGTGAGAACCACAAAGCCTGAGTTAGGTGCCTTGGCTCCCTATACAATGAAGAGGAAGAGGTAGGCACCTAAAGAATGAAATTCACAAAAGCCAGCACATGAGGCACATAGCTGCCTAAGCTAGCTAATGGGAAAAGCTGGCAAAAGGTGGTGTTTTCTAAGCCCTGCCCTTCTCATGGGGTTAGGAACCGATCTCTGCAATCCAGAATCCCTCTCTTGGATTCAGGCAGCTTAGATGCCTAAGCTTCCCCCCTCTTTTCCCAAGAAAATTAGGTGCCTGTTGAACACAACACAAAATGGACCTGATGGGCATGGGAGGCGGGAGAAGAGAAGGGGGAGGTGGGAAAAGAGAATCTCACTTTAGCTCAGTGGTTCATATACTTAACCGAGATGTGGAAGATCCTGGTTCAGTTTCCCCCCCTCTGCCTGAAGAAGGGATTTGAACAGGGGTCATCTCACCTCTTAAGTGAGTGCCTAACCACTGGACTCTAGAGTGATTCTCACTCTCTCTGGCCCAATTAATATTTTAAATTATTTTTGAAGTAGAATAACTTCAATATGACCTACATCAGAATATGACCTACATTATATGCCATAGTCCAATGGCCTGAGAGGTGAGGAACCCCCTGTACAAATCCCTTCTGATTATCAGTGGGGAGAATCTGAACTGGGGTTTCCCACCCAAGATGTGGGAATCCTAACTAGTGGACTAAAAGTACCACCCCTCTCAGCCATTCTGGGTACCGTGAAGCATGTTCCACGCATGCCAAATATATTGGACCCCATCGACACAAAAGATACCCCTCTGCCTATTTTTTTCAGTTTGCAGATTGTACTGGGCTGGGACTTAGGTGTCCGGACACCTACAGCGAGCCAGCAGTGTGTGTGCCCAGAGGTAGAAATTTGGGCAGCTCGGGGAATTTTTTTAGGGTTAGTTGTCAACCAAGAGCGGGTTTTGTGGCTCTCATTAGTTCTGGAGACTGGGACTTTGCCGAATTCTAGGATTTTTGTAGGTCTGAGTCCTCTCTCTGGTACTTCCACAGAGAGGACAGAGCCTGAAAGACCTTCAAAGTGGTAGGTTTCAGAGTAGCAGCTGTGTTAGTCTGTATCCGCAAAAAGAACAGGAGTACTTTTGGCACCTTAGAGACTAACAAATTTATTTGAGCATAAGCTTTTGTGGGCTACAGCCCACTTCATCAGATGCATAGAATGGAACATATAGTAAGAAGATATATATACATACAGAGAACATGAAAA